GGGGGGTCTTTCCAACTGAGTAAGATTAGGAAAGGCTATCGCTCTTGGCTGCCTGGGCTTCCCCAGTGGCTGAAGCAGGCTTATCTCCTAAAGAGGGAAAGACACCTTCAGCAGGGCTCATGAAGACAGACTGAAATCCAGAATGTTCACTGACAGGCAGGCCCAGGGCTGCCCCAGGCAGTGAGCCCATGTGAACACACTGAAAGGAAGGTGGGTTCCGACCCACGGAACACACAGGAAAGGAAGAGGTGTGGGAGGGCAGGGTTGGGGGGATCCTGTGCTTCAAGGGAAGAGACAGCAGTCACTATGGCTTGAGCCTGTGCCAGGGCTCAAGGGCTTTTTCTAAGTCGTCTGAGTCCACAGGCAAGTCTCAGAGGCCCCTTGACCCTAAACGGACTGCAGAGTCAAGACCTGTCTCACAGCCCTCCCTCTCTGGTGTTGAGGAGGCCCTTGGCCCTAGGAAGGCAGGAAGAGGCAGGTGTACCAACACTTACGCGAGGGTGCAACTTTCCAAACAGCCAAGACAAAAAAACCTGCAGCAAGCTAATTTTGGGTGGGTACCGTATAGAAAATTTAAATACTGGAGTACACAACATGCTGTCGGCAAGACTGTGCTGGTACGTAGGTGGGCGACCCCAGCAGCTGCTATTCATTCAAGCGATGGGCATGTGTGGAGAAGGGCAGCAACAGAGATGGAGGGACAGATGCTGGACCACAAACCTGGGTCCTGGGTGTCAGTTTCCACTTGGTACTGAGATGCATAATCTTTGATCAGTTTTCTCTAGGTTTTGTTATATGAAAACTGGAGCCATGTTACCTTGTCAACATAATAAAATTTCCACGGAGGTGTCAATGCGCGCTTCAGCTGGAAGCAAGGCAGGGTCTGTTGGGGTCCTGGCCCTGCCAATATGGCTGCAGCACTGAGCCAGGGTGGAGGGGGGCGGCCGATTCGCACCTGTGTCCCTCTGCCTTACAGACAAGAACTTGATACCAGAAAGAGTGAGACTTTTCATCAACCTATAACTAAAACTATGAGTGCTTTGGAGCATGATTCTTTTTTGCTCCTCCCCATACTGTATGAAGAGGCTCATCCCCACTCTGCCAATGGTGAGGCAGTATTGCACAAGGACAAACAGCCTGGGCTCAACTCCTGGCTCTGCTCATTACTGCTGTGTGATATTAGGCAAGTTAGGCATTAGGCAACTGCACTTCAGGCTCAGTTTCTGTAAGTAGAAATAAGCGTGGTACCTATTCCCTAGGAATATTATGAGGATTAAAAGAACTAAAACATACGAAGTACCTACAACAGTGTCTGGTATAAGGTAAATGCTATACATACTTGTTTGCCACTCTGGGGATACCAATCCACAGACCTGCCCAGATTCACAGAGCTAAGTACCAGCAGATCCAAGATTCCCGCCTAGGTCTTCTTGACCCCAGGACAGCTATTGAAAATTACTGTGTTTACTGCCTTCTGAAGTGCAGGGGAGGAAAGTACACGACACAAGGGACCTTGACTGGACCTAAAATTCCCCAGGAGAGTATGCCTCGCTGGCTGGACACATCCACACGTCCACACACACCTAGGGAGGCACCCTCACCTGGATGTAGTCCACCGAATCACCAAGGGCCTTGAAGGCTGTGTACATGACCTCTCGCTTGCCTCCCCACTTCTGCATGATGCATGAGAAGGTGCTGGCCTGCACCACGTCCCGAACGCGGTCCATGCCCTCCTGAAGGCTGGCCTCCGTCTCGCCCTCACCCGCCTCATGGAAGTTGCTGCGCCACACAAAGAAGCCGGCTTGCTCGGTGCCCCCGAGCACCTCATGGAAGATGTCCAGCATGTAGGCATCCTCCTGGCGATTGCCGTCCACCACCAGGACCACTTTGAGGTCGGGGAAGGCGATGCGCTGGGCTGAGCGCAGGCACTTGCGCAGGTAGTCGGGGTCCTCCTGGTACGCAGCGATGCAGAGCGCCACGGAGCGCCGCAGTGGGGAGGGCAGCTTCAGGGTCCGGCCTGCCCGTCGCATGCGCCGGTGCTCCAGGAAGGCAAATAGGCTCTGGATGAGCAGGTGCAGGCCCAGGATGGCACCGTACAGCCCGAAGGACAGATAGTGTTTTTCTGTATGGATGAACTGGTAGCCTGTCACATAAGCTGCCAGGATCCCACCCAGCACTGCCAAGGCAAACAGGCTGGTGCCCACCACGCGCAGGGCTGTTGTCAGCTGCACCGGCATCTGGTGGGAGAAGGTGCGAGAGGTGGGTCAGCGGGAGGCAGCCTCTCTGGTCAATGGCCATGGGGGCATTTTCTCTGGGCCTGGCCTAGACCCAGGGAAATGATCCACTAATAACAACCATCACCATTTACTGAGCATGACTAAGACTGGAGACTCGAAAGCCAGACTAGTAGTAGTAGTAGTTGAGTTTTGTGGTTTAGTAGTAGACAGAGCACAGGCTCCTCTGTCCACGGGATTCTCCAGGCAAGAATACTCAGTTCTGCCACCTGCTGTGTGCCTGTTCTACCCCTTAGTTTATTCACCTGTAAAATGTGTGTTGCAGTACTAGCCTCCTAACATCTTTGAGGATTAAATGGGTTATATACATAAGGCACTCAAAGCAGCGTTTATTATCATTAGCTAAACCCAAGCCAGAGAGATCTGAGAGAGACCTAGCTGGTGGCAGAACTGGGATCTACCTGACCCAATGCTCTCACAGGCAAGCTTCGGTAGGGTGAACCTGAGGCCAGAGGAAGCTCTGAGCATCTGAGAAGCCAAGAAGAGGGAGGAAGTGGAGGGGCAAGGGCAGGTAGACAGACTTTATGCCCTACACCCACCAGGGGATCACACCATGAAGAAAGTGGGGAAGGAAAAGATGAGAAAGAGTAGGAAACATAGAGGTGCCTGAGGGAAAAAAGGAGGAAACAGCTTCCCTTTCTCAAAACAACTAAATCTGTAAGAGAAAGTTTACCAACGTTCTCTGCTTTCTCACTTTTTTCTCTTTGACTTGAGAGGCAGCAAAGAAAGGGAAAGTGACCAGGAAAAGCAGACAAGGGAAAGAAAAGGAAATGAGAGCTGGGGTGTGGACAGCCCTCCTGGAAGCCCAGCACTGGGGCACCGGGGGGAACTGCAGCTACCACTGCAGCAGCCCAGCTGCCGGGAGGGGTGCCTGCCAGGGAAGCCCCATCCACTTGGTCCTAGTGCCCGTATGGAATCTCTGTCCATGTACCCCTGCCCCGCTACTCCAGGAAACGCTGGCAGGTTTTGTTAGGAAAACTCAGGACTTCTAGCATCTGCCCATCTGGAAAGAGCTGTGTTTTAGTGAGCCGAGTCTAGCACTTGGTACTTGAAGCCTTGTGCTGGAGACACAGCCCTACTATCGCCCTGGCTGCCTGATCTTGCCCAAATTCTCTGGGACTTCGCAACTCCTCTGGGGAGGGATTCCAATGGTTTCTTGTTCCATAGGTCCCAGGTAAATCGTACTGATTAGTAGCCCTGAAGGACTGAGTGGGGGAGGGGAGGGGTTGGGGGAAGGCTGATGAGGACAGCTCCCCATCTCCTCTCCTTGCCACCTGCCTGATCTGGAGAATCCTGTTACCACCACCGCCCACCCTTTACAGACAAAGGGGTCTCACTTCCAAGCTTGCTCCAAGTCTGGGTCTCACTCAAACTGACTCCAGACTGCCACATCAACACAAACACACTTTCTTGCTAGGGGGCTGGTTCCCCTGCCACCCTTCACACAGGAGGGGTGAGGAACACGCAGTCGGTGCCTAAATCAACCGGAGACTCAGGCCTCAGCAGCATTCCAGCAGCTTCGGTCCGGAAAGTGCTGTTGGCAGCCTCACCTCTCCGGGAAGCTCGGCCTCCGGGCGCTCTGCCCCGCTGTCCCCGGGAGCCTGCCGTGTGCTTCCTCTGCAGGATTCCCAGCCGTCCTTGTCTCCCCGTCCCCGCCACCCCCCCCACCGAGGGGGGCCTCGTACGCGCTTGCAGCCCACGGGTCCCTAAGCCCTGCATCCACCACCCAGGAGCGCCCCCACCCCCCTCTAGAGCTTATATGCCATGGGGGCGCTGCGGGCACTGCTGCCTGCCTGCGCGCTGGTAAAGAGCAGGGGGCGTCGAGACCAACCCAGCAACCTGCCCGGCGCTGGCGCCCCGCCTCGGTGCAGTGCCAGAGGCGGTGCCCACCAGGGTAACGCAGCCCGGAAGGCACTAACCATGCTTCTCACCCCCACCAGACCTTGGCTTTCTAACGAAGGCGGTCCGGGCCACACCCACGTGCCCGTTTCCCACGACCCAGCTGGGAAGAAACGGAAAATGCAAGGAATCAGTCGGATCAGGCCCCACTCACCTCCTGGGGGGCGGGGGGCGCGGGCGCTACCTTGGCAAAGTGTGCCTGCAGACAAAGGCGGCATCCTCAGTGTCGCCGGCCCCCTCCTTTCCCGGGGCAGGACCCCTCCTCCCCCGCTCAGGAACTAGAGGCTTTATCCTGGCACCCCTACATCACAGAGGCCCCAAGAAGGTCCCGCAGCCAGCAACCCCATGTGCAATCAGGCTCTGGTGCCAGCTCCGCCTCAAGTGGCCCTGCCCAAACAAGGGGCCGTGTCACCCCTCAAGCCGGCGGAGAGGAGCCTCTTGTCCCCCTACACCCCCTTTGCTCAGAGGAGATCCAGGAGAGCTCGGCCCCTGTAGGTTAATGCGCACCCGGCTTCAAGGGCAAGAGATTGGGGACGCTCTCCAAGCCCTCCCCCTACACCGAGAGACGTGGGAAAGAGAAAACCTCCAGCCGAAGACGAACGCCGCCGATCTGCTCCCGACGCCGCGCGGGGCTGCCCAGTCTGCAGCCTCTCCAGCTGACAGGTGTGCCCTTCTGCGGGGCCCACACGCGCGGCAGGACGGAAACTTGTGCGCGGGGCAGGGGCTCTTTCCTTTGCGCCTGGCCGCCCTCCCAGCCCCTCCGAGGCCGCAAGGGAAGGGGAGCCCAGGCCGCGGGTACTTGCGGCCATGGCCCGGCTGACCCGCAGTAACCGGGGCGCCGAAAATCTTGGTGCCTGCACAGGTGCGCACACCCGGGCGGGCCTGGGGCAGCGAGAAACTCCAGCCAGCCTTGTGCCCCTCACCGTCGCCCACCTCCTAATCCATTCACAAAACAGGAGCCGCAAGGGAGGAAGGGAGGAGAGGCTGGAGCAGGAGAGGATGGAGGAAGAAAGGGAGGAGGGGTCAGTAGGGAGGGGGCTACAGGAACGGCCGCCGGGAAGCCTGGAGATGCCGCAGCCCTCAGCCCGCCTCGCGGCGCTGCACGCAGCACCCACACGGCTGGGGAAGCCGGCGGGGTCCGCGGGGCTCAGCAAGCGGCACCGCTGGAGTCCGGCGCGCCCGGGTTCCTCGGGCAGCCCGCCCCTCCGAGAGGGCTGGCCGGTCGGCCAGGCCCGCGCTCACCGTGCCGCCGGCTGCCCGCGCTCCGGTGCTCAGCAGGCCCGCGGCGGCTCCATGCCCCTCCTCCCGCTCCTCGCTGCCGCGCCTCTCTTCACGGTGCGCCGCTGCTGCCGCGCGCTTCGACTGACGAGCGCTGGCCCCGCCGAGCAGCCTTTAAGTACCGAGCGCGCCCCCGCCGGGAGAAGCGCCCTCCTCCGGCCCTGGGGCCGGGAAAGTTGGGAAGAGTGGGAGGGCTCCCCCGAGGGCTGCGAGGAGCATCCCCTTCCCGGCTCGGCCGGGGGTAGCCCCACACGGCCGGCGCGCGGCGGGACGCAGGGTCCCGAGTGGACGTGGCTCCTCCTGTTCGGAAAGACTCGCAGCCTCTGCACACTCCGAAATTGCGGTTCCCCAACCGAAGCCGAAAGCCGAGTTCCGCCGCGCTCGGCCCGGGACCAACTGCCCAGGGAAGAGGTGGTCATTGTGCTCAACCTGGAACTTGAAGCGCAGTTAACTTCAGTATAACCCATAGGGGCTTCCAAAATTGTGACTCTCAGTTGCCCTCTGCCCCGCGCCCCGTCTTCTAAGCCTCGAACTCTACTCACCCTGCAAACCAAGCAGGTAGAAATCCCCCGACTGCAGCAAGAGAAGGGGCTGTGCTTTGTGTAGAACACTCCCTAAAGCCAAAACAGCAGAACCTTCCTGCTGGGGGTAAAGAAGGCTCAGAAGACAATACTCGTTAAATATAAAAAAAACTGGTCAAAGGTGTTAACAATTGTGACAAGCTCTGAATTCCGCAGTGGGGCGCTGATGACTTTAAGGCTTTCAAGAGCTGCAACGGTTTTGCAAGAACCTTGAAAGTTCCCTGTGTCCTAGAGCCAAAACCAATTCCTCCTCCCCGTTTTTTACACCTTTACTTCCGACACCCACGACTTCCTAAATTCCCAACTGACCTTATCACCAGAGGTTTCCAAGTTCCCCAAAGCTGACGTGACGCTAGACCTGGGTGAGGTGAGGTAGGATGGGGTAGGGTTAGGGAGAGATCGGGAGTTCTTAGCATTCAAGGAAGGAAGTTTACAATCAGCTGAACACAACGGTTTCTAACTCTCGGAAAATCTTGGATGTATTATAATTGAAGACTAGTAAAAAATGAATTTACATATCTCCTGGGACAATTGCTACAAAAATTTATAGGAATGTGAGTTGCAGTCTCCAAGCTGCTCCTCTCAGAAGTCTTAGGGGCTCACCGTGACTCAGCTGGGTCACAGAGCTCACCCTTCAGTCCCCCAGGTAAACAGACCCTTGACACATCACCCACTCCCATCTTGCAGTATTTAAACCAAATCATTTTGGACTCTTGCTTGAGAAAATCAAGTTGAAACATTCTTTTTGTGTGTGTGCTTTTTATAACAAGTGTTCAGGGACTTCCCTGACGGTCCAGTGGTTAAGAATCTGGCTGCCAATGTAGGGGACATTGGTTTGATCCCTGATCCAGGAAGATCCCACATGCCAAGGTGCAACTAAGCCTATGCACCACAGCTACTGAAGCTCAAGTGGAGAGAGAGAAGACCTTGGTTAAGCCCTTGGAGTAAGTTCTGTCACTAGCCATGTGGCACTAACCTTAGTGTCTTCATCCCAGAGATGGGACTACTTGACAGGACTGTCATAAAGCTTGAAAAGACCGACTGAGAGTAAGTGCCCAGTAAAGGTTAACTCCAGCCAACTTCAACCAGAGAATGGCATCTGCTTGCCAATGCTATGGATTCTACATACCTATCCCTCCAGGGTGTGACACTTGGTGGCAGGAAGTTCAGTGTTCATGAAAAATGCCTTGTCTCAATTGCATTAAGGACTCCATGAGCTCTAACTACTGCCTCTACACCCAGGGGCTTGCCAGACTGGAGGAGCTATCTAATTCTACCTCCCACCCAAATTTGCAATCTACGTATTTTTAGAGCAGGGGAAACAAGCAGAGGCTGGGCAGCTATGAGTGACCAGCTTGGTGAGAAGTGAACACCCCATTTAAAGATGTCCCTTTGAGAGGGATGGCCCAGCGTGGCCAGGTGCTCTGTTGTTAGGAGAAGCCAGAAATTCAGATTCTTATGTGAAGTCTTCTCCTATTGAAGTGTTAGCTACTAATTCAAACGTTAAAAGACACTCCACAGGTCAGGCCAAATGTGTCTGAGTCAGATCCAGCCAACTGGCTGCTTGCAAGTGACCTGTTTAGACGATTAAGGAACAGAGCAGCCAGTTTGGAAAGATCCCTTCTGCCCTCAGCAATGCAGCAGCATGACTTCTCCGTGTGCAAGTTTCCTGGGGCTGCTCCTCGATCATCTCATGCCTAGTTAATTTCCAAGACTCTAAATTTGTCCCACAGGCTTAGTGCCTAACTCACTCAGCTGGTTCCAGGAAGGTTTATAGGTGGTGAGCTGGTATAGCACCACCTCACTAGTCAATTAAAACCTCTGAAATAAACAGCAGGCCCAGGGCACCATTATGAAAACAGTAAACACTCTTCCCATATCCACTGGCTTGGCCTCCTAAATGGCTTCTCCTGGGGAACAGATTCTCTTTTTCTGGTCTTCAGGGCCAGGTGACCTAGTGTGATCAGACAGCTAGGAGAGCTTTACCCTTGTGGCCAGGCAGAATTTGCTTGTAATTAACATCCACTTTGCTGGGCCCTATTTGCATTAGTCTCTTCAGGGGGAGGTGGGTTGGGGAATCTTTAAGGGGCTGATATAACAAAGCTCACATTTATCTCTGCTTACCACTGGGGATTTAGAAATAGGAATAATTCCATACCCAATTACTTAAAAACGTGATTTCAGAGGGTGCTGAACTGGCTGCTACCCAGGTTCCAGAGGGTAAGCCTCCTATTCTTCTGTGGCAGAAGGTTCATGCAGTATTTCAACATTCATGTATGACCTGCTCTGAGCCGAGAAGAATGCTTTGGCACTGCAAAGTCTCAGGCTGGTCTGTGCTGTCTAAATGGTTATCCATTTTGAAGACAAATACACTTGAAAACTTAAGTTACCACAGAAGAAAGTTTATAATTAAATGTTGCTGAGAGACTCCAATTAGAAGAATTTGAAGATTTTTTTCAGGAAAGAGATCTCTGAGCTGGTATGGGCTGGGCAGAGTTCCACAGAAAGCGGCAGGAGCACTCTAGACAGAAAGCATCATTTACAAATAAGAGTGTATAGAGGAGGAACTTCCCTGGTGGTCCAGTGGTTAAGAATCCATTGGCCTTCCAAAGCAGGGGACATGGGTTCCATCCCTGGTTGGGGAACTAGGATCCCACATGTGTGCTAAGTCACCAGTCGTGTCTGACTCTCTGTGATCCCATGGACTGTAGCCTGCCAGGTTCCTCTGTCCGTGCGGATTCTCCAGGTGAGAATACTGGAGTGGGTTCCCATGCCCTCCTCCAGGGGATCTTCCAAACCCAGGGATCAAACCCAGATCTCCCACATTGCAGCCAGATTCTTTACCATCTGAGCCACCAGGGAAGCCCAGGATCCCATGTGGTGCAGGGCACTGAAGCCCTCGTGACAGCACAGCTACTGAGCCTGTGCACTGCAACTAGAGAAGCCAGTGAGCCACAACGAAGATCCCGCATGCCACAAACTGATAACCTGAAGCAGCCAAACATTCTAAAAAAGAGCAGGCAGAGGAATGCGTCTGGACAAGGCAATGGCAACCCACTCCAGTATTCTTGCCTGGAAAATCCCATGGATGGAGGAGCCTGGTAGGCTACAGTCTATGCAGTCGCACAGAGTCAGACACGGCTGAAGCGACTTAGCAGCAGCAGAGGAATGTGTGAGGTGTGTTCGAAGTCCAGCAAAGACCAGTCACGATGAAACAAAAAATTTACACTGAAGAACCTGCAGCGCTGCTTGCCATGTAGAAAGTGCCTGATACAGTCTACCTGCAGAGGAGGAAGCTGGGGATGGATTCCAGAGGGCCTTGGGTGACACAATGGTCTGGGTTTTATCCAGTAGGTAACAGAGAACTACTGAAGATGTCAGAGCAAAGCAGTAAGAGGTTACAAGTCTTGTTTGGTACTTTGGGGTAAAGACTAGGAGTGGGGTAGGAGACCTGTTAGGAGGCAGAAGGGATCCTCCTTCTGCCGAGTCTCTCATGTCTCCAGCACTGGTGGGTGGGTTCTTTACCTCTGGCGCCACCGGGGAAGCCCTAGGAGGCAGATAAATCACAACAAAGGGGCGAGAAAAGGCTCTTGCAAGAATTGTTGGTGCTGCCTTCAGGAAGCAGAGGTAAGGGCTGGCAGTGTCAACTACTGGGGCACAAGTGAGACTACAGGTGGTGGAGTAACCAAGGGAAAGAGACTTCTAGAGTTTGGAGGGCTGAAGAGGCCATTCTCAAAGCTCTGGAGGGTCTGAGGTGACTGAATCCGACACCACTACAAACAAATCTCACCTTTCAGCTAATTTTCAAATCCAAACCCATGAAATATTCAAATACCTGTGTCAATAGGAGCCCTCTGTGCGATAACCCTGCCAGGTGCTGCTCTGCCTCATTGGCAGCCTACTGAGTCACTGGGCAGAGGGGGGTAGAGGGATGTTCTAGCTCCACAGCTCCCCCGTGCCCTCTGACCTCACGCTTCAGGGCTCCACCCTGGCAGCCAGCCCACAGCTTCTAGCAAAGCAAAGCAGAATGGAGGATGGCAACCAAGCCATGAGGTCTCCTCCAATGGCTACAGGCTTCATCCCATCAGCTTCCTCTGGGCTGACCACAATCAAAACCTCTCAAAGCTAATGAAGGTGAAATTTAAATTGGCCCCCAAAGAGCAGCAGGCTATGTCTCCCAGGTGACTAAATAGGGCCTTCTCCTCAAGGCAGCTTCATCTGCAATACTAGTTAATACATAATTCAAAGTGGAAGGTGCGTGCCTTGACAGCAGCCAGGCAGCTACCATCAAACAAAGTTATCCTTTCATAGCTCTCCCCTCTTACCGACAAGTAGTCTGTAATCAGTACCATTTCTAGGTGCTACGTTTGAAGAAGGAGGGTTAAGGACTTCTCTGTCCTGCAGTTACAGTGGTTAGATTTTAACTCTAGTCTTTCTCTCCTTGGATGGAAGGGTCATTTTCATTTCAAGTTAAGGGGCCTCTGCTCGACTGGAGGCAGGGCTGCCAGGTCCTACTAAGGGGCCAGGTTCTTTTATGCTGGCTTGAAGGTCAGGATTAGAAGGGCACACGATAACGAAGAATCAAGCCAGACTTGGAGATGCTTTTCTTAGAATCCTGAACAGGAAAAGCTCTTCCTGGCCATCTTTCCTTCCTCTCCCTCCCCCAGGTGAATGCAGAAAGAAATCCAGAAGGCGATTTTAAAGAATAATCTACCTTCTTGGTGGAATATTGTGCAGCTACTAAATATGATGTTCAGGAATAGAATGTAAGAATATGCAAAAAATACTCATAATGCAAATGTTAAATGAAAAGGCAGGATACAAAAACCATCATGTATGAATGACTGCATTTAACGTTGCTGTTTCCTTTTGAATCCTATG